AGAGCCCCGGCGTGCCCCCGGCCACACGCAGCACCGGGCTCCTGCTCCCTTGCTGTCCTTCCGCCCGGCCTGGGGAGGGGAGAGCAGTTCAGGTGGTAGTTTGATGGCATGGCTGACGGTCCATGCGGGCAGCAGCGTCCTCGGCGCTCTGCCAGGCACAGTTGGGATGGATGCCGAGGCGGCCGAGCTTCGCGGTCCAGCCCCCGGCACAGTCCGGCTCCCGCCTCCCTTATAGGAAACCCTCCTTCCGGAACTGCTCCTTCAGGATGTCTCTGTACTGGTCAAAGCCACCCTCGATGCGGGTCACGGTGGCGTTCTCACACACCCACAGCTCCTGGCACACCAGGCGGATGAAGCGCTCATCGTGGGACACCAGAATTACACCACCCTGCCAACACACAAGGGGGAAAAAAAGGGAACTTAGTGGAGCACAATGCAGGGCACAGCGCTGGTGGCACGGAGCTCCTGCACCCCTGTCCAGGACTTCAGGTTTCCGTCTGCTCCAGGGAAAACCAATGACATGTCATGGGCAGGGACCTAATCCCAGCTCTTCCCTCCTTCAGGGGGACAGACAGATCCCATACGGAGGAGGAACATGCAGCAGTAATGTATTTAGCCTCCCCTCTCAGAAGGCAAGCACAGGATTTGTTACTGGCTCTCCAGCTCTCAAAGATGGAGATTCCAGGTGGAGTCAATGACAGTCAAGACGTGGCTGGGCAAGGCCCTGAGCAACCTCAGTTAAGCTTTTCCTTCACAGGAAAACCGCCCCAACCTGAGCAACTATAAAACAGTGAGGACTAGGGTGACCACATTGGTATCTGGAGGCCGTCTTTGGAGATCACCCATCAAATGTGCCTAAGGAAGATCCGAGCAGCCCCAAGGCAGGGCTGTGTGCAGCATGCACCCCGTGGAAAGTCACAGGGTGTAGGTGACTGGTCAAGATGGGGGACAAGGTGCTCTCTGGTCTGCTGCTGCCCCTCTCAGCCACCCCCAGCCAAAGCCAGCAAGTGAAACGAAACACCAGGACGGATGGCTAAGGCAGAAACGTGACTGACTGCCTAAATTCTGTCCTGGACTTGAAGCCACCACTGGTATTCAACCATCCACCTCTAGTATTCGACCATCCACCTCGGCTGAGATGCCAAGTAACTTAAGCTGGAGGCTGCACAAAGCGTTACAAAAATGGGAGACCTTGCAGAGGGAACCTTACCCGGAACTTATTCAGTGCCTTTGCCAATGCCTCGATGGTCTCCATGTCCAGGTGATTTGTCGGCTCATCCAGGATATAGAAGTTTGGACTGGAAGAGAAGATAGCTCTGAGCGGGCACTGGAACGGGCCCAGGCTGGGTCCGTGCCCCATCACACTGCAGCGAGCTCTACCAGGCTGCTGCTTTAGCCACTTAAGCCATCAGCATGTGCCTGGCCCCAAGATCGGCACTGCCCAGCTCCAGGGACACCTCTTATCCCCGTGAGCCCAAAGCAGCAGGAGAAAGACACCTGCCTCCTTCCATACAGCCCCCCAGGGTGACAACCTCCCTCCCCACAAAAGTCCCAAGGACGAGGCTTTCACGGGGCAGCGGAAAGTCCCTGGATGCCCGCCTTCCTCCCGGTGAAGCAGGCTCCAGGAATGGAGCCATGCAAAAATTAACAGCATCTGGGAGAAAATTACCAGGACATAGTCATCTGGGCAAAGGCCACGCGACTCTTCTGACCTCCAGACAGGCTGGCCACGGGACGCACGGCCAGCTCCCCCGAGACGCCGTAGCTCCCCAGCTGATGCCGGTACTCCTCCTCTGTCTTCCCTGCAGAAGTGTGTCACAACACAGCTATGGCACACCCGGCATGACACGGGGCCCTCAGCGCCGTGAGCTCGCTGGGTGCCGTGGCCGGGCAGTCCGTGCCAGACCAGCACGGCGAGGGACTAATTCAGCAGCCACTTCCAGGCAATCCTCTCCCAAGCAGGGGTTGTGGGGAAAACCTGACTGACACAATCAGGACAGCGGCTGCTGGGCTGGTGACTGGCTCCGAGAGACGCTGCCCCAAGTTCCCTGTCACCACCTGGAGTTAACGTTAAGTGGAGAAGGGAGCTGGAGGCTTTGGCAGCTGGGAAAGGGGGCAGGGGGCGGTGCTCGTTCTGTGCCCAGCAGGAAAGCGGGTCATCTGCCCCCAAAACCCGGCCATAGCGGAGCACCAGCCTGAGGTCTGCAGGCTGCCAGCTACCCCTGTGCAACCAGCTCAGCTTCTCATGGCTGGTGTCCTGAACTTGTGCTGGACACAGGGTGTTAACCCAGAGCAGGCCGTGTCCCTTAAGCACTGATGTGACCGAGCCTTCTGCCTGGGGCCATGGAACAAATCAATGCTGCTCTGTGTGCGGCAAAGGAGACCTCAATGGCCCACATCATCTGGGATCTCCAAAACTCACCTGGGAACTTTCTTGCCAGCAACTCTACAGCACTGATGTTCAAGTCCAGTTGATCTACATGGTGCTGGCTGAAATAACCGATCTTGAGGTTTCTGCAGAACAAGAGAGACTGGGAGTTGGTACCAGGCCCTGCAACCAGAGTGCTCGCAGCTGGGGCTACAGGAAGGGAAACATATGTGTGGGTGTGCAGGACCCAGCCCCAGCCGTCACTCCAAAGCACAGCCCAGAAGCCCTCCAACTGCACCATTCCTCCCCGCGCCCCAGCCCTTCCTACCAGGTACCTGTGAGCATGTCTGATCCCTCTGACTGGTGCCAGCTCCCCCATTAAGATCTTTAGCATGGTCGACTTGCCAGCTCCGTTTTCCCCAACCTAGAGAAGCAGGAGCAGCATTGGAGAACGTGAAACCCATGAAGGTACTTTGGAGAGGGGGGCAGTGTTTGGATGATCACACAGTGGACGGGGGCAGGATGAGAGTCCTGTGGCTCCAGCTACCTGGAAGCTGCATTTCTATCCCTGAGGAGCAGCACGGGCAGCAGTGCTAGAAGATGTTGCCCCCCCCAACCCTTAAGCCTAAGGATTACCTGCTCCCAGGCTCATTTGCAAGAAAATTGCATCTCTCTGCTGCCCCATCCAATGTAGCAGGAGCTACACGTAGGACAAGCTGCTGTTGTCAGCTAACTAACAGGGAGTTTACAGAGAAGACAGACCTAGTTCTCTTCTCAGAGGTGCCTGGTGAAAGGATGAAGGGCAAGAGGCACAAGTCACAAATTCTAACTGGTATTAGGAAAAATGTTCCTCAAAATGAGAATGATCAAATGCTGCAATGGGACCCAGAGGAATGGGAGAAATATTCCTCCCTGGGATATCCAAATTCAACTGGACAAGGACCTGAGCAACCTGACCTAACATCAAAGCTGGCCCTGCTTTGAGCAGGGACCTCCCAAGGTCCCTCGTAGCCACCATTATTCTGCAACCCCACATACCATACAGATGCGGGACTCCAGATCAGCAGAGACGGAGAGGGAACGAAAGATGTAGTGACTTGGGTCGTAATAAAAGTCTACTTCGTCTAGCTGCAGGATAGGCGGGGAGAACTTCTCAAAGCCATCGGGGAACCTGGGAAGGCAGAAAGCAGTGAGAGATGGCCAGGAACTTCAGAGATCCTGCTCCCAGCCTCCCAGAACAACTGCTGCAACTCCCCAGGTAGCAAGGGGGCCCCTACCATGCAGGGCCTCTGGGAAGGATGTTGACAAGACATGGACACGGATCTGCAGCCTTGACCCGAGGAGGGAACCCAACCTAAACATGGGGTCCCATCTGGGGTCCCTGTCAGAGTAAGGCTGGCCCACAGGAAGGGGCGGTTGTCCCAGCCAGCACAGGACCCAGGAGGAGCTCACGTAAGAAAGGGAGCCAGGTGCCCTCTGAGCAAGGGCGCAAGGGACACTTACTTCATGATCACCTCAGACTCCTTGTCCACAGGTTTCAGCTCTGGCCTGCAAGAGGAGGAGACAGGTAACCGCGATGCCTTGCACTGAGGGTCTGTTCCCATACCAGAAGCCCAGAGAGAGTCTTCAGCCAAAGCCTGTGGACCAGAGACAGAGCACCCCAAAGCCCAAACCACCCTTCTATCACCCAGGCGCCCTGGGAACCTCTGTTTCTTCCCAGGAGCACTGCCTCCTCCCCACCTCCAGAGACGAGCAGGACAGGCACTCACAGTTTCTCCAACAGCTTGAGCTTGCTCTGCACTTGGGATGCCCGGTTGGCGTTGTAGCGAAAGCGGTCGATGAAAACCTACAAAAGAGAAAAGTATCAGAGTGCTCCAGGTCCCCAGCCCCAGCCACCCCACTCTACTGCCAGACCTCCTGCAACAACAGAGCCGCATCCATGGGTTACTGCAAGACCAAACAGCAGTAAAAACTCTGAGAGCAGAGATTATTTGAAGCATGGCAGCTTGGAAGGTTCACTAGAAGCATGGAGAGAGGGACAAGGCTCAGAGAAGAGTGCTCCAGCGCTACCAGCTTCTCCCAGTACCTGGATGTGCTCGCGGTACTGCTGCTGGGCTTCATACTCTCGCTGCTGGTTCTTCAGCCGCTCCTCCTTGATCTTCATGAAGTTCTCAAAGTCCCCACGGTACGTGTCCAGCCGCTGCGAGTGCAGGTGGATGATGTCCGTGGCCACCGCATTCAGGAAGTTCCTGTCGTGGGACACCACGAGGATGGTCGACTGCCAGGTCTGGAGGAGACAGCGAGAGGGGGGCCTGAGCCTCAGCACCACCAAGCCAGAGCGGAGGGCTTGGTCCCACCACCCAGTGAGGCGAGACACCAGCCTGGAAGACATCTCCATCTCTTGACCTCACTCTGTCCCAGGGCCTCCCACCACCCCCTACCTGCAGGTAGGTCTCCAGCCACAAAATGGCCCTCACATCCAGCATGTTCGTTGGCTCTGAGGGAAGGGAAAAAGGCACTGAGGTCAGGAGGGATGGGGATGGCTGGATTACACTTTTTTTACACAGAAAAGGCCAGTGATCAGCATCGCGGAGGAAGAGACCCTGCGTGGGGACCTGCCCCTGCAGCTCAGGGAACTCAGACATCTGTGTGGGGTGTGCTGCGGCGG